GGTGCTGTAATGGGGCTGAGAGGCAGTGAGCTGCTCAGCTTCCTTCAAAGACCTAGGGCTGGGTTTCCCAGAGAAGAGAGTAGCATGGCTACCATGATTCTCTCTGCTATTTCTGCAAGAATTTTTGGGGGAAAGGGGAGAAATCTCACTGGAGATGGTTTTACACAACAAAGTAGGACTGAGAAGTACAGAGCACAGGTATGAAAAAGGCATCAGTCTGGAAGCCAGGAAATTTTGCATTTCATAACAATTTTGGCACTTACTTGTCATGTTATTTTGACTACTGAAGGATGAAAGGTCTCGGTAGATAACCTACTCAAATCCCTCTAACTCTGAAACTCGAAAATAAGAAAGCTTATAGGTATAGTTACTTAAAGGAAAAGAGTCGAAGAAAATGCAGTCAGACATCTCCCCTTGGCTGTTGGGAAGAGCTGTCCAAAGGCAAATAGGGCTGTCTACAAATGGAAGTGAGTTCTCTGTCCTTGAAGTAATTAAGAAGATTCTAGGTACCCTTGTCCAACAGGGAGAAGACTTAAGTAAGGGTGCACAACAGTCCAGCCACATCTGCTCTTTGCCTAGCACCATTATGTGAATTTCTCTTTTTTCTCCTTTCCCTAGATCATATATTTATTAGTGTATTCATTCATTCAGTGAATATCAGTATTTTAGTCATTCAAAATGGCATTTGATTTATTTCATTACAGTAAAAAAAATTTAACAAGAGATTTACCCTTGTACCAAATTTTTGTGTGTATAATACAATATTGTTGATGATAGGCGCACTGTTGTAGCACAGATATCTAGAGCATAATCATCTTGCATAGCTGAAACTTTACACCCACTGATTAGTGACTCCTTTTTTCCCTCCCATTTCTGCCCCTGGCAGCCACCATTCCACTCTTTGATTCTATGAATTTGACCATTTAATGAGTAGAATCATGCAGTATTTCTCATTTTGTGTATGCTTTATCTCTTAGTGTAATGTCATCAAGATTCATCCATATGGTCACATATGGCAGAATTTCCTTTTTTAAGGCTGTATAATATTCCATGGTATAATGTGGTATAATATACCACATTTTGTTTCTCCATTTATCTATTGATGGACATTAGGTTGTTTCCACATCTTGGCTATTGTGAACAACACTGCAGTGAACTTAGCAATGACTGATGCAGAAAGATAGGTTTTAGCTATAAGACACCCCCTCTTTATCTCTTTAGGGCAACGTGAAGCCTAGAGGTGCTGATATTTCTAAAGCCCCTGGATGTATTCCACAAGGCAGGGAGTGATTGGAGGGAGGAATCAGATCTTGTTCATACTAACATGATAGAGAAGGTAAAAGGTTACTATGCTCAAACCCCTGACATCCCTGGGGCAGGGGCCTGGGCAGAGCCCTTGGCATCATGAGGAGGATTTGTGTGTGCAAGAATAGAGAATTTAAGGGAGAGCAGAATGATTGTATGTGAGATTTGAGAAAGAAGCAGATTGGGAAGTAGCGGGGTTGGGAGAAATACGGAAGGTCAATGGTGCCAGTGATGCTGGAGAAAGGGCGATGATGAGTGAAAAGTCAAGGTTTTGGTGGGAGAGTTCAAGGCCACATGGAGTGTGCAGTATGACACTCCTGCTTGCTTGCCCACAAAACATTCAGTAAAACCTGTAGTGTGTAGTAATGCTTTATGGAGTTGGATTTGCTGTTTTGCAAGGTGCAAAAAAGAGTGTGGATGGAAACAGAGTACCCCATAGAATCAGTCACCTCAAGATCACACTTAGGTCTTTAAGGACAAATGTGGTGACTGTGCACAAGCTCTTCCTCTCCAGGTTTGCAGCCCAGTGTGCCCTATACCCTCACTGAATGGCTGCTGAGTGAGCAGTTCCAGGCAAGGTCTGTAGGAGCAGGAGGCCAGTGAGTGCTAGCTTCTCCTTCCCCCTGCAGCCTCCCCCACCTCCCCAGAACCATAGATGGTCTTAAGATCAACTGGGGCTTTGCTTTGGGCAAAGGTTCAGCTGGATTTTGTTTGTTCCTCTCTGATCTACTCTGACTGTCCCTGGTCAGGATCGCAGCCAGCTTGAAACAAACACAAAATTACATGAGAAAACAGGAGAACAAAATCACAGCAGCATGTTCCTCTAAAGCCCTGTCTAGGGCTGATAGAGCTGACGAGATAAGAGGAAGCTGTATTTAAGCAATGAGAGGGCTTGGTCCATGTCTGAGCCTTCTCTGACTGTGCATGAGTAAGATGCAGAGATAAGCCCCCCACTCCAACACTCCAGGGATGAGCTCCACCACGGTCTGCTGGGGGACTGGCAGCTAAGAACACAGGGAAAAGAATTCCAAAATGATACATGTCGAATTGCTGGCCTGGATTTCAAATGCCATAGATAGTTTATGCAAAGTCTCGCACTGTTGTAAAATGTAACACTATCCCCTGGCAGATCTTCCTACGCTTGGTCCCAGTTGTTTTTGAGAAAAATAAATAAACTTGATAACGACTTCCAGCCATTAAAGTGGCTATTTTTTACCCAGAGTCTCCTCCTTACTGTCAGGCTCCTAAAGATTTAAAAAACTGAAGCCATCACCTAATTCCTGCCAATGACATGGTTAATTCTGGGCACTTCTACTCTACTGAAGAAGTTACCTGTGACATTCAGCAAACTAATTCTGTACCCCCAGAACTCACTGATTCCTTGTTGGGGGGTAGGGGGAGACATCTCTGGCAACAAACAAGTTTCAATACTTTTCAATGTTTTTAGAGCAGTTTTAAATGAAACATTGCAAGGCAGGTTCATATATAAAACAGATAAGAAGAGATGCTCAGGTTGATACAGTGCAGCAGGAAGCAAGTAGATCTTACATCCCGATCCCCAGGCTGACACCTCCAAGGAATCCTAAAAATCCGCAGGTGGCAGGCTGAAAACTTGTGACCAAATCCAACATTCAAATGTGAAAGATACACTGAGGCCCAAAGAGTTAAGGTAACCAATCCCAAATCACACGCCACGTTTTGAGGGAGCTTGGCCCAGAGCCAGGTCTCCTTCTTCCAAGCCAGCACAGTGCTCCAGAACTTCCTGGGTGACAATCTGTGATTCTCCAAAGTTGGCTAAGCAACTTATCTTCCTCTAGTTGACGTTTTTTGAATCAATTGATGAAGACAATAGCATTAAGGGACTTTGGATAAAGGGTGTATGGGACGCTGTGTTATATTTGCAACTTTTCAGTAAATATAAAATTACTCCAAAACCAAAAGTTTATTTAAAAACAATGATACAGTTGTAGATCACAATGCACCCATGCATTTTTTTCTTGAGTGTAATGAGTGAATTTGATGCATGGCTTTTCCACTCCATGTTTAATAGATGGTCTTAAGATCAACTGGGGTTGATCTATAGGATCAATGCTGATCTATAGGAATCCCTGGGCAATATAGATTCTTGCTTTGCATGATTTTTATAAATGCATCATCCTGTCCTTATCCACTTGCACCTTGTTCTTTTTTTTCACTCACTGCTATGTTTTTGCAAACTCTCCATGTTGATATCTTTGAACTCATGACTCCAGCTTCCATTTTGATTGACCAGAACCCATATGGAACTGGCTGTTAAATATTTTTAGTATTATCTCTATATATGAATCTAGTTTAGTCCTCTTGTTATCTTTTGCTGTATAAAATTCTATCATGTGAATATCTCATATTTTATACACCCCGGCCCCAACAGAACAAACATGTAAACGATTCCCAATCTTTCACTACTGTAGGCGCTGCTGGAGTAGATAACCTTAATCCTTATATAGACTTCCTCTTTTTTCCTTTCTTTTCTTTACTTCTCTGTTTGTTTTATGTCTGTTTACTATGATTTCGATTATCTCACTTTTTTTGTTGTTTTTTTTGCATAGCTTATAAAATCCTTGGCATTCACTAGGTTGGCTTTACTTTCCAGATAAGTAGACTGAGACCAGCTGATGTGGCATGACAAGTCCAAATTCACAGGGCAGTTTTGAGAGAGAAGCCACATTAGAGATCAGAGGAAAAGCATTAGTATGGAATGATCTTCTGTGGGAAAAGGTCTGACCAATCTCAAGAACAGCTCAACTGTCCCTATCCTTTGCCATCATAGCACTTTTCTGTTTTCTACTCTACGGTTTACAGTTGCATGTGTGATTACTTGATAAGTATCTGCACACAGTGGCAGCTGTAAGCCCCTCAGCATCATCTGTGTCTTGTCAACTGTCTTGTCCCAGAGTGCTTGGCAAATAGCAGTTACCTGATAAATATGGCTTTTGAATGAATGAAGGTACCAATGAATGAAATGCCATCTGGATACCCAAGAAACTCCTAAGTTTGAAGAATTCTGTTCATCTACATGTGCTTTGTGGTTCTGTTGACAGCAGTTGGTACAGCTGTCATTGAGAATGAGTATGTGTGACTATGAGAATAAATACATATCCTGAATGTCTTTGGGGGCAAGCAAATGCCCATACTGTCGCAGTCTTTGTTCTGTTGTTAATATGGCTTTGGGGACAATTTACAGATTTGTTCTAAAATGGTCTGCTTCATATCTGAGACTTTGTGAGATCCTCAACCTACCTTTTCTGCCACTCTCCCCAAGCTTTAATAATACCAGGCAGCTTATCACAACCTAAATAATTCTGGGTTTCTGCTTTCCTCTGAGCCTTTGCCTCTGTTCCAACTACCTACAATGCCATTCCACTCTTTCTACTCCATTCTTCCACACCCAACTCAAATGTCATCTCCTCCAGGATTTGTCCCATGAGAATCTCTTTGTCACCTCTACTACCAGGACATGTTATCTGTTCTTGCCTTAATTGTGTTGAGGATTCCCTCTTCTATGTTGGGGTGAGGGCTCCTGGAGTAGACTCTTCTCTATTCATTCCTGTTTCCTCCTGTGATGCCCAGAACAAAATAGGTTCACAATAAAAGTCCAATTGAACTTCATTCAACCTCTGAGACCCTCTAAAACGTTTTTCAAAATCTCTTTCCAGGTGTGTCGAACCAAGGTGATAGATCTCAGTGAAGGCATTTCCCAGCACGCCTGGTACCCCTGCATGATCAACTATCCATACTCGCAGGTGACTCAGACCACATTCTGGCTCCGGGTAAGTTGAGAGCTTAGACTCTCCAGCAGTGGTCCCCAGGAAGCACTGACTCCCATGAGCCTTTCTCAGGATGCTTCGTCTACCCACTGATGGTGTTAATTGTAAAGATGGGGACAAAACACTTAGCAGTGGGATGCTTCCTGAAACAGAGTCCCTTAATTGCTCATGGAATTAATTGCTCATGGAATGCCCCTAGTCACTCCAGCTTTTGCAGAAAATTTAGATGGATACCTTTTGTCTGCCTGGGACCTCCTATCATTGTTCAGGGCCTTTTAAGATTGCCTTCTCCTTCTAGAAGTCTTTGCTGATCCCCACAGAGAGAAGTGACTGCTCTCTCTCTTCTAGTCCTACACGTGTTTGGCCATCTGTTAGGGGACCCTTGTCACATGGGATTATGTAACTATCTGTGGGTCCATCTTCCTGACTAAGGACTGTGCATTGTACTGATTTTTTATCTGTGTGTCTCTGACCTACTTTGAACTCCATAGTCTGCAGGAATGTGAGGGCTGTCTTACTTAGTTTTGTCTCCTTCATGCATAGCACAGGGGTTAATTAGCATGAAGAAGTGATGAACAATCACAAGTACCATTTTTTGTGTCTTTAGAATATGCCAGATACTTTACTCTCATCTTACTGGCCCCTCACAGCCATTCTGTGATAGAGCTATGTACTTAATCCGCCACTTAGACATAAAGGCACTTAGACCCAGAGATGCGCAGCCACTGCTCAATATCACACAGCTCAGTCAGAGCAGAGCCAAGATTGGAAGAGGTGCAGACCTCAGAGCCTGTGCTCTTTCCTGTGAGGTTTCACTGCCTCTCTGTTCCCATTGGGGGCCCTTGAAGAGGAGCGCAGCTCCTGAAATGAAAGATCCTGCTTGAAACCCCCACCCCACAGCTGCTTCCCCTCCATGAGAGAGTGCAGGAGTGACCCTCCTGTGTCTTCTATATTTCAGGCGTACTTTTCTCAGCCAATGGTTGCGACAGCAGTCATTGTCCACCTGGTGACTGATGGGACCTATTATGGGGACCAAAAGCAGGAGACCATCAGCATCCAGCTACTCGATACCAAAGATCAGAGCCACGATCTAGGTGAGCGTGTTCTTTCAGGCGAGGCTTGCCCCAGTGCCTGTTTCCACATCGGCCCCCGGGAGGTTGTAAGGTCCAGCTGAGAATGAGTTCTCCCTTCCCCTGTCCTTTTTCTGGCTTCTTACCTGGCAGTTTGGTTGCCTTCAACCCAGGATGTGTTTGGGTATCCCACGAAGCCTGGATCTGGCAGATGTGGACATAATGGATCAATGTCAAAGGCCTCCCTTCAATAGCTCCCTTCTGTAAGCACCTGTGACCTTAAGCACCCCATAGAGTCCTCAGGAAACCCCAGGGAAGAGACCGCACAGAGGCCGCTTCTCCACTGTTCATATCAGCTCCTGAGACCCAAAGAGAGGCATTCGTGGATGCAGGAAGACAGGAAGGTGGCCAGGTTTTTGGACTTAGAGCCACCTACTCTTTCCCCTGTTCCTGGAAGCATCCATAAGTGCCCCCAAAGCAGCAGCCATGTTCCCAGCATGCTGGCCGAGTTCCCCACAGGAGGAGGAGTCAGGGAAGGTCCGTTTGCGGAGTGGGGAGGCAGGTGAGGCCCTGAGCAGCAACCCCCCCCACAGGGCCCAGGGGGAGAAGAGTCGGTGGTGTCACGTCCGCCACCCCTCTGCAGACCCGCCAGGCAGGGCCCAGAGGAGAGAGCGCCAGCTCCGAAGCTGACCCCCGGGCGTGGATCCCCTGGGAATGTGAGCGCTCCCCTCAGTTTCTCTGTGCCTCACCTGGAGCCCTGTTTCCTCTTGTGCACAGTGGGGATGCCAATGCCACTTTACGGTGGTCGTGACATACTAGCTAATAGATGAGCCGCTGCCGTAACGGTGCCCAGCACAAGACCTGGCACTGAGAAACTCCTGTTGCCCCTCCCCTGTGTCCAGCACACCCTGCCCGCCATCTCCCAGGCAGCCACGCAGGGTGTTTCAAACCCCAGGCTGGCACAGACGTCCAGGCATGAAGCTGTGCATGCACCATTCCCCAGGGAGCTCGTTTCAAAGATCTGTAGGGAGCCAGCAGGCAAGGGTCATGTCAGGGTCATGCAGAAGCCAAGGGAGCAGGAAGGGTTTTTTTGTTTTGTTTTTATGTTTACTTAGTTAGTTAGTTTTAAAGGCAAGGGGGAACATATTAATAAAGAGAAAGAAGCCCCTCTGGACTTATCTGGATTCCTGGGAAATTTCCCTAAGTGAGAAGCAAATATTTTCATAGCTGTCCCAGCATTGCAGAGGGCTCTGAGGAGAGGATTTTTGGTGAAAGGGGGGAGGTCGGGTTCTACAGAAGCTCCTCAGATCCTGCCACCCAGTGCCTGAGGCTTCCACGTGTCCCTGGCCCTCCCCATCAGGCCCCTGTCCTTTGCCTGCAGCATCCCGGATCCTCTGCAGAGGCCTTGCAGCTCCGGGGTTTGGCCGCAGGAGGGCGCCCGCTGGGCTGGCCAGGATCATCCCATATTGCAGATGCAGAAGCTGAGTTTTAGGGGCTTGCTGGTGTCCAGTATTAGGAAGTGGCTGAACCGTGATTTGAAGTGAGCTCCATCAGACAGCAAAGCCAGCTTCCATTTCACCACCTCCCACCTCTCCGCAGCCCTCGCCTCCCCTTCCCTCTCCTTCTGCGTGTCCTTTCCTCCATGGCCCGCTCTTTGAAACCCAGGGACCCCTCCCCTGTTCTAGAAAGAACTGAGGGCTTTTGAATGAGACAAGCTTAGATTCACCTTGGCCTTTGCATTGCTGGCTGGCTATGTGCCTCTTGTCCATGACGCTTAGTCTCACCTCTGCAGACGAGTACATGGTCCTTACCTCTTAGGGCTGCTTCCAGGGTCCAAGACAAATAGGGGAGCAAGTTGTGTACCCTGGGAATGGCCTGTTGCTGAGAATTATTTTCATTGTCATTGTGACTGACAGGGAGGGCAGCCTGAAAACTAGCAACTCAGACCATCAAGCCCTAATGCAGCGTGGAGAGGTGAGGGCCAGTGACGCTTGGCCAAGGGGTGGCCGCTGGGTGGGGGGAGAGGGGCTGTGGGCACTAGGTGAAGGGAAAGCTTAGGGGGCAGGGAGGCAAGGGGATTGGAAAGATTTGGAGCCAAGAGAAAAAGGCAGACAAAGAAACTTTCAATCAAACTCAAAATCCCCACCGGCCACCCAATGGTGCTTTTGTGCAGTGACATGAAAGGGTCTGGGGGCTTCGGGAAGGGCCCGTTGGGGAGGGCGTGACTGGCCTTGAGTAATGAGCCTGGCCCCTCGGCCCTCTGTCTCCCCTGACAGGCCTCCATGTCCTGAGCTGCAGGAACAATCCGCTGATTATCCCCGTGCTCCATGACCTCAGCCAGCCCTTCTACCACAGCCAGGCGGTGCGTGTGAGCTTCAGTTCACCCCTGGTTGCCATCTCGGGGGTGGCCCTTCGCTCCTTCGACAACTTTGACCCCGTCACCCTGAGCAGCTGCCAGAGAGGGGAGACCTACAGCCCTGCTGAGCAGAGGTAAGAGACCTGGTCTGCATGCCCTGGGCTGTTTGTAGCCAAGGGCAGATGGAGGAACTCTGGACCTGGGCAGCCATGTGTGTTGCTGTAAGAAGTCTGTGTGTTTCTCTCTTCCCTGTGCTCTGGCCTCTGGCTGGCTCTGCCCGTGGACCTGAGAGGCCCACACACGTCTGACTTCCAGCAGTGAGAGAAGGAAGCAAGGATCTGTGGTAGAAAGAGGAGCCCCTACTCCTGGCCAGCTGTCCCCGAGCTGGTGATGGCTTGCAGGGTGACCCTGGGAACATCACTGTCCCTCTCTGGGCAGCAATATCCTCATTGGAACAAAGAAAGAATAAGTGGCTTTCTCTCTTTCAGCTCTGAAATACTGGAATATTCTGCTTCTTAAATATCAGAGGAGGCATAACCCATCTGGATTTCGGTGGTAGGGGGAGGGCTGGATTTGCTTCCTCCCGTTCCCAGTGTGTATCGCCGTGATGGGTAAATCTCTCTGTCTTCCCCAAACCTAGCTCCTGAGATCCCCCCAGTGGTCTAGGTCTTTATCTTTTAACTGTTTAACATCACTCTATCAGTGCCTGTAATACTCCTGGCTTAGAGCTAAGAGAGGGTGGCGTTTCCTGGACACCATTGAGCTTTGGCAGTGCCCCTACCTGAGTTTGAATGTGCCCCTTCCTGACTGTGTGTCCATGAACAAGTCACTTTGCTTTTCTGAGTCCCAGTTTTCTGTTTTAGAATGAATGGGTAATATCTACACCATAGGGTGGTCATGAGGGTCAAATGGTTCACTGCAGCTGGAGGGGCTCGTGTAAACTGTGAAGCACCGTGCAAAGATAATGTATAATAAAGAACATCCACTGCCACTTTCGATAGGGTGGTGGTGCTTTTCTGCACAGAATTCTGCATAAAGTTCTCAGAGCTAGAAGAAGCCTCTGAGATCATCTCGTAATTCCAAAGTGTCCAAATTCTACATTACCTGCTTGAGTTTCAGGGCCCCAAAAGTCAAAGGACTGATCCATGATCACAAAGCATCTATCACGTTTGGTTCCTAAGATCCAAATGGAGAAGGAGAGTTAGGGTCCTGGTGGGCTTCCCCAGGGTGAGGCCCCCTACGGGAAAGCTCTGCTCTCTTCCCTGTGTCCCTGGGAGCAAGGCAAGGGAAGAGATGGGTGGGGACACCAGCCCTTCCCACGCCCCTATTCCCACAAATGACACAGAAGGTGGTTGCAGAACCCCATGGCTTTGCACTCACTGTCTCTAGTTTCTGTTGTACAAAGTCTGTTGCAATCATTCAGAGGCAAAAGAGCCCCTAAAATATCATCCATTGTTATATTTTACCAACTAAGAGGGCTTTTTCATCCCTAGCTGTCCAGACTATAAAAATAGCTTAATTCCCAGAGCCCAGGGAAACAATGTCGATGGAAAATGGAAAACAAGAATCCCTCCAGCCCTTTCTGCATGGCTTCCCCATCTTTAGTCAGCTGCCTGGGCCATCTACAAGTTGAGTGAAGCCAGCACTGACTTTTTTGAATTCTTAATGAGCAGTTCCTATGCCCAAAGTAGACAGAAAAAAGGGTAGAACCTCAGAAACAAATCAGTATTTGCTGAGTTCTTTGACTTGTTGTGGAAGAACATTGACCCAAGGTGAAGCATTGCCCTGGCCCTGACTGGTCACACAGCAGGCTGTGAGCTGGGCACCCTGCCTCTCTGGGCCTCAGTTTCCCCAACTATAAAATGATGATGATGGATTGAGATGTTCTCTGTCGTTCTTTCCACTTGTAACAGTGTGTTATTCCCAAGAGCTAAGAGGGGTGAGTGGAAAAGAGGAGACCAGAATTTATAATCTTATTTCATTATTTCACTATCCTACCTGTCCTGGGAGGTATGGACAGAGTGAGTGAGTCAAGGCCAGGCGGTGAGAGACAAAATCCTGCCTTGTCTGCTCCGCAGAGATACACGGGGCCTGCGAGAGTCGGGCCCATCCGGGAGAGAAAGGCACTTTGCACAGCTGCTCATGTGTGAGCATTTGGTCGGTGAAGCTGAGCGAAGTGATGGAAATGCAGCCCCGAGGGCCTCGGCTGGCTTGGTCCTGAGCTCGGACTTCACCAGGAGAGGCTGAGCCTTTGGAGCTGCGGCTGCTGTGCTGCAGGTGGCGATCCCGAAGGATCCGGGGAGGCGTGTCCCCAAGTAGACAGGGCCTTGCAAATGTGCACATGTCTTCAAACAAACAAACTAGGGGGAAAGAAAAGAAAAGAAAAATGAGCAACAACTGTAAAAAGCCATAAGATGATTTCCTTCATTCTCAGAACACCAAGGTAAATAGCACCACTTCTGTAGCACACATTTCTGCTGCCGTAGCAGAAACATCCCACTTGACTCAGCTGCTTCCCATGTAGGAAAAGGTGCTGTTTCTTTCTCCCGCCCATCCTCCCTCCCCTCCCTCCCTCCCCTCCCTTCCCCTCCCTCCCTCTCCCTCCCTCTCCC